TGTGTGTGTGTGTGTGTGTGTGTGTGTCACAGTGTGTGTGTGTGTGAGTGCGCGGGTGTCTGTGTGTGTGTGTGTGTGCGTGTGTGTGTGTGTGTGTGTGTACATGTGTTCCGCTGAGTGTGTGTGTGTGTGTGTGCGCGTGTGCCAGGGGGAGGGGAGGGAGGACCCCTCCCCCATCAATCAATCAATCAATCAATCAATCAATCAATCAATCAATCAATCAAACAATCATTCAATCAATTAATCAATCAATCAATCAATCAATCAATCAATCAATCAATCAATCAATCAATCAATCAATAAAAAAACAGTCAATCAATCAATATTCTTTTTTTTCTATTTTTTTCTATTTTTTTTGTCACACACCACCCGTCCAAATTTTCAAATTGTCAATTTTTTTTTTGTACAGGGTGGTAGTGGCCGACGTGCGCAGGTGGGGCGTGCGCACCGTTTTCCCGCGCGCGCCCCCACCTGGCCTTGGCGAGACCGCGCGCAAACGTGGCCGCACGGCCTCGGCTGCAGCAGAGCAGGTGGCGGCCGCGGCCGAGGGTGCCACATAACCTACAAGTGAGAAAGAGAGGAGGGTGACATCTTCTTCTCCCTTCTCGCCCTCCATCTCTCCTCCTCCTTTCCTCCTTCCTCCATTTTCTTCTTCTTCTTCTTCTTCTTCTTCTTCTTCTTCTTCAGATACGAGGGTGAGAGAGGTTACAGGCAGCGGTACAGTGGGCATTGCGCCCAAGATCTGGTTTGACATTTCTGAGAGGGACATTGATTGGACATCAGCAGGGGACTATTTTGGACATTGCCATTGCGATCTTGGTCTTCTCCCTCGCCTCCATCTTCGTCTTTCCTCTCCCCCCATCTCACATCCGTGGTATCTCCCCATGTGCGTGTACAAGGAGGGACCTTTCTTCTCGGTGTGTGGTCCCTCCTCCTCTCTCACGTGTGTGATGTATGATGGGATGTCGTGTCAGTCCCGGTCAGGTCAGGACGTATATTATAGTCTCTCGCTGCGCTACAATGTGCCATTTTGTATGTATCAGGATGCACATTGCTTGTTGATGTTCCACGGGCTACAGTGTGCCATTTTGTATGTATCAGGATGCACATTGCTTATTGATGTTCCACTAACATTGCATTGTCCGTTCAGTCCTTTTCATCAAATTGCGGATCCTTGGCTCCACCTACATGCCCAACTGGGCATGTATCAGTTGGCATCGGAGCCCTGCACGTGAATCAGGACAACCTGATCTGACACGTGTGCGGGGATATTGATTAGTGATTGATTGATTGATTGATCATGGACTGATTGATTGATCATGGACTGATTGATTGATTGATTGATTAGTTAATTAGGTCATTCTAATTAGTCCCCCAAATTGCAAAATTTTGACCTAACTGCCAAAGTCGATTTTTTTTTTTCTTTTAGGTTTCGTTTTCTCGGCGCTATTTTCGTTTGTGGACATCGCAAAATCTGAAATAACACAGCATCTGAAAGTTTCGATTTTCGTTATCTTTTGAAATTCGAAATTTCGTTGTTGAGAAATCTGGAATATTTTACAGAAATTTTCGATTTGTGTTTCACTTTGCAATTTGCCGTTATTTCAAAAATTCCGAGAATTATTTTTGTGAATTTCCGAAATTCGTCATTTCGAATTTGAAATGTTATGGGAAATCCCTCTTTGCAGTCACGTTTCAAACTGCGCATACTCTCATCTGAATGATTTCGGAATCCTTTTTACTTCCAGAATTCCCTGAACTTGCGAAAAAATTTTCTTTTCCTTCGCAGTTCTATTATTCTTTATTCATTATTATTCTGTGTTCATCATTGCAGTCTGAAAATTCGAAGTTTTTTAACTGATAATTTCTTTTTCTTTTCGAACGCCTAAGTGTACCTTGTGATGCTTAGTGTAGGACCATCGGCCACACTTTTTGGAACCAGGACCGGACTACCTGTTAGCTCTTCCAGGACGCTACTTAGCGTACCTGATTAAAGCCGCGCAGAGATATATAAGTAAACACTACGCCCGGTTTGGTCCTTTTGGGTCCCCCGCCCGGTTAGCGCACTGCATTCCGGGATGCGTGCGAGTAGCCTGGTGTGGCGTAGGGTTAGTGGGAAATGACGAGGTGGTTGTGAGGCTAAGGGAGACAAAGGTGGATTTCCCCCTGAAGAGACATTGTGGCGGCTGTCGAAACCGGTCGGGGTGCCATACCCACCGGCTGTTTGCGTTGTTTTTACTTGTGTTTTCTTTCTTGAGTACATGATTACATGTTTTAATTAAGTTAGCTCAGTTGTTTACATGACTACATGTATGCTTCGGGATTACACACTCGTTGATTGACTTTTGTCTATTCTTCCTTTTCACTTCAAATCTCTGAAGGCCCGTGTGAACCAGCTGAGAAGTTGCTTGGCAAGTGTGAGCACGATGAGTTTGCTGATTTGGTTCGTGTGTTATTCGTGATTTTACCGAAGATCTACGTTACTTGTACTACAGAGGCGGCGAGGTTAGCGGAGTCTACCTACTTCTGCCTTTTGTCGATATTTTCAAGACAAGTGTACTATCCATTTTCCGGTGGACAGGGCGATTCTGCGAAGTTTTACCTGTTAACGAGGGTGTGCAAGAGCGATGTCAGGAGCAGGATCGCGCGAGTAGAGGCGTGACTATGACCGCGATCGGGAGCGATATCATGAGAGCAAACGTGATGAGGACTATGGCTGAGAACGGACTGGTGACGATAGGCGGGATCGGCCTGTGGAACCTCGACAAGATTGAAGTTATAGGGAACCACTGAGACGCTATGCACCGGTGTGCTTCGAGTGCGGGGAGCCTGGACACTACAAGAACCAGTGTCCTCGATTGGCCGGGGACACTAGCACTCGATTCACGACTTTTCGAGGACATTCGACCTCGCCAGGACGTCAGGGACGTCCAACGGAGCGGCGCTCGGTTGCAGGGGAACCAGTTCTACGGAAACAGATTGAGGATCTTGCCAACTCTTTGGCGATTATGAAGGAGGTCTTTGACGCTGAGCAAGCCTGTAAGGAACATAAGGAGCAGGAGCGAAAAGAGAAAGAGAAGCGGAAACAAGAGGCGAAGGAGCAGTTAGCGAGGGAAGAAGAGGAACGTCTGACTCGAGTACATCGGGAGGAGCGACGATGCATAAAGAAAGAGGAAGGAAAGCGGAAGGAGGCTGAGTTCCGCGAAGGGCTAAGGAAGGAATTGAGAATGGAAATTCGCATGCATGTTGGAGGGGCATGCGAGGAACTACACCAGCGATTATTCGAAAGCTTGTCGAAGAGTAAGGGGAAGAACAAGCTACCAGTATACAGCGGATCAGACGATGACGAAGAAAGCGCTGATGACAGCGACGTTGAGGCCTTGAGCAAAAAAACAGGAGGCCTAGAGATCAGCAATAAACGCAAGCGCAGTGTCGAACGCGTCATCGACGATAGCCCTCCGATGGTGACCCCTGCTAAGCGACCGACAAAACGTGGCACGCTGTTGCCAAAGCGTTTTGCGCTCAGCTGTCGGCATCCGCCTATGAGGCGATCGCCGGACAAGAAGACTACGGGAGGAACAGTCGCTAAGATGAAGAAGATACCCGCCACGGTGGAAAATCTGGGGAAACTACGCTATGTTAAAGAGAATCTTCGGGTGTTGGGCGGAATGAATGTCGATGAGCTGAAACAGATATGTCGAGATGAGGACGTGCGCTTCGAAGGCAACAACAAGAAGATGGACACTATCTTAGCTATTACCGATAAACACGCACACGTGGCATATGGCACTGACAAGGAGGAGGAAGAGACTACCGAAGGCAGCATGACTGAGATCCAGGATGATCCTTCTGATAAAGAGTTGCATCAGCCTTCAAAACACGAGGACCAGGAGGAGGAGGACAACTGAACCATTGGTGGCTACTGGGGGCTCTGTAGAGCATTGATTGCACTTTGTCGTAATTCACCATACAACGCTGCGACAGAGCAACTGTATCGTTACGTTGTTATCCTCTTGATGATCTAGGACCAAATTCGATGGCTACGCAAGTGCCTGACATCATGGGTGGACATGTACCGAAAGCACGAAAGTGAGGACATCAAAGCTGTCAACGGGGACTCCAACGACATCTATATCCTGACTTCACCAACCTGAAAAGCACAGTATGTGGGACAGGCCAAGCGGCCAATGAACACAAGGTGGAAGGAGCACCTATCTACGTGTGGTCAAACACACAAGCAAACTCACCTATATAGGTGGTGGCAAGTGTACGAAGTCGATTCCTACGTGCTGTTGCCGATCGAAGCATGATCCGAGTCGGAGCTCTTACCACTCGAGCAGTTATACATCCGCTGATGGTCACCCGTCCTGAACACGACTGGTAAGCAAGGTAAGGGTGTCAAGACAGGTCAACGGCGATTGGGGAAGTGGGAACGAAGTAGGACAACTAGACCAGTCCACGTTGTTGACAGATCTAACGCGAATGCACCTATTGTACCTCTTAGAGCAAGGATTAGGGAGGTAAAGGACTGGAGTTTAGATGTATACCAACCGCTGGACTCACAGGAGATAGCGGAATGTCGAGTTTTCTCGTTGACCGTGGAACAAGGGAGCAGTTGGTGTGGGGGATGGAGGATAATCAAGACTGCTTTCGGAAAGACGAAGGTAACTATCGAGGGTAAACGATTAGAATTACGTCATAGCAGAGCACACATGGAGAGAGGCGGGTTAGTTGAAGTGACACATCTGGTTAAGTGGAAGCCAAAAGACGGACCAAACAAGAAGTTCTTGCGCTCACTTTTTCGCAATCCTCAACGTATGGACGCCCTGAGGATATGTAGTCTGACCGTATTAGTCAAATTGATCAAATCCGCTGGTGATTTCCAAACAGCAGCTTTGACTCAGGAGAAGGAGGAGGACATACTGCGGAAAATGAAAACGGATGCCAAGGAATCAGGTCTGCAACAATTTGTGCGGTGGGATGCAAAGGGGAAGGTGGGTAGTGCTTATGTTTTACGAAAACATAAGGATCTATCAAAGTTCCGTCCGATATGTCCAACCTTTTCGGAACCTACCATTCGAACCTGTCGTGCTACTGCTACAGCACTGAATCATCTCTTAGCGGGCATGCCAGGTTCTTGGCACTTCAACCTGCGATCGGTGTCCGAGTTGGTAACAAGACTGGATTAGGGGAACAAGAACATTGGCCGGGTGATGCAGACAGACTCTGAATTGGTATCCATGTCCTTTGATACCAAGGACATGTTCAGTAAACTACCGCATGAGGAGATATTAAAGGCAGTTGACTGGGCGATTGACTACCACATGAGCAAAGGACGAAAATGGATCCGTGTGAACACGAAAGGTAAAGGCTGCACTTTCGGAGTGAGCACAGGCGACGATCACTGGAGGAAGGTGAACCTGGAGCTGATCAGGAATTTCGTTAAGTGGGAACTGGAGCACACCTACACGAGAGCCACTAGTACTCTGCTGCAGCAAGTGGTGGGCATCCCCATGGGGAAAGGAACGAGCCCACCGCTGACGTGTATGTTGTGTGCCTTCGCAGAGTTCAAACTCCTGCAAAGCTTAGGCGGGTGGCAGCGTTTTGTGTTTGGTGTGCGCCTGATGGATGATGCTAGCTTAATCATTGTGAAAGAACGGAAGAAGCAAATCCCCGTGGATAAAATTAGTCGTGGCTTCAAAGAATGTTACCCCAAGAATCTAACGCTGCAAAGAAAGGACGAGGGAAAACGAGTGTGAAACTTTTTGGGCACTGTCATGTCGGTGGATGCGTCGTATCCGTACATGCGATGCACACAGTTCTCGAAGAACGAGGCCTCATCATAGGAAGAAGGCCGTTTGGAGTTCAAGAATGGTCAAACGTACTACTCCTGGGGGAGCAAGCCACAAAAAAACGTTGTGGTGGGGAGTTGCTTGCACAGGATCGAGCACAACACGAATGTGCGCTCATACATACCTATGAGAGTCCTGAGCTTGCAGAGGGAATTGCGTTTGAAGACTTTCCCTCACACCTTCCTGAAACGAGTCCTGAAACGTTTTGCAACGGGGAGAGACCAGATCTGGAAGTGGACATACAACTGGCTCTACGGAGAGGATAAGTGAACATGATGAGCCGGATGTACGGATGGGGTCTATGTGTTCGACGGTTTAGCAAGTCTACCAGGGGTGCTCGTGATTGTTTTTTAATAATAGATGCATGATAGGTGGTAAACTATGTTGTATCCTAGTAGATGTTTGACAATGACTATTTGGGTTTGAGATAACCAGGACAGGGTCCTCGAATGGTCAGTCCGTGTGATAATTTTTCGTTGATTTTCGAAATAGATGCAGGATAGGTGGGAATTTGCGTTGTGATGGTTTTTGTTTTTTGTTACCTTGAAATAAATTGGGACAGGGTCTTTACCTGGTTAGTCTTTGATTTTCTCGGATGTGGTTCTTAGGGACAGGGCCCGACTTGTGACCCTCTTTGATAGGCCCGACGTGTCGTCAGTTTTCTGTTAGTGTTTTGCAGTACCGTTTTTTTGTTGTTGTCGGCACCTGGTCTGTAGCAAACCAGACCGTTTTTTCTTTTTCTTTTTGAACGCCTAAGTGTACCTTGTGATGCTTAGCGTAGGACCATCGGCCACACTTTTTGGAACCAGGACCGGACTACCTGTTAGCTCTTCCAGAACACTACTTAGCGTACCTGATTAAGGGCCGATAGAAGCGGTGAAAGCCGCGCAGAGATATATAAGAAAACACTACGACCGGTTAGGTCCTTTTGGGTCCCGCGCCCGGTTAGCGCCCTGCATTCCGGGATGCGTGCGAGTAGCCTGATGTAACGTAGGGTTAGTGGGAAATGACGAGGTGGTTGTGAGGCTAAGGGAGACGAAGGTGGATTTCCCCCTGAAGAGACATTGTGGCGGCTGTCGAAACCGGTCGGGGTGCCATACCCACCGGCTGTTTGCGTTGTTACTTGTGTGTTCTTTCTTGAGTACATGATTACATGTTTCAATTGAGTTCGCTCACTTGTTTACATGACTACATGTCTGCTTCGGGATTACACACGCGTTGATTAACTTTTGTCTATTCTTCCTTTTCACTTTAAATCAAATCAAGATTTTACTATTATTAATTTCTCGGAATTTTTTTTTTGAAAAGTTCAAACTTTTCTTTTTTGAGTAGTGGCTCCTTATCTGGGTGATTTATCCCACCCACCCCTACCTACCTATGTGCTGCCCCTCTGACCTACTCTTCTTCTTACTCTGATTCTGGGTACCCCCTACTGCGGCATTGGTGAGTTGCCATGTCAGCAGGCCACGTCAGCAGACCACGTCAGCAGGCCACGTCAGCAGTGACACGTCAGTGCCATGTCAGCAGGCCACGTCAGCAGTGACATGTCAATGCCACGTCAGCAGGCCATGTCAGCAGACCATGTCAGCAGGACATGTCAGCAGCACACGTCAGCAGCACACGTCAGCAGCACACGTCAGCAACATGTCAGCTGACAGCCGTGCCATGTCAGCAGTTGCATAGTGCCACACCAGCAGAAGGGAGTGCCACATCACCAGTCCTCCGTCCTCGTCTATGCTCACACGCTCGCAAACAGCCGTCATGGACCAGAAGTACCGAGAAACGACTGTGGCCTATCAGGTCCGGATGCTGGCTTTGATTACCGAAGCCAAGCAATGGGCGGATGAAGGAGGAGGAAGCCGAGAAGGCATGTCTGTTGGCGATCGAAGAGCAGCGCCAGCTCGACGAGGCAGCAGCAAAGGCTGCCGAGGAATAACGCAATCAGCGACGCAAGAAGGTGCTCAACGAGGAGCGAGCTTTGCTCACTATGGCAGCGACATGGTGGACCGGAACCGAAGGTGGTGAATTCAGCGACAGTGGACCACGCATCTCGCTGTTGCTCTCCCACCTCACGGATCTCCTGGCAACGTGCATTGCACAGCAGGAGGACATCCATAGCCTCGATGACACGGTGAAGACCCAGCAACGGACAGTGGATAAGGTGAACAACCGCCTCCAGCAGCTGGAGCAAGGACCAGTCGCCACCCCCGTTGCCAACTCCTCCAACAACCCCGACCGACTCAACGCATTGGAAGTCGACGTCGGCGTACTCAAGGACGACATGCAGCTACAGCCCATCGCGACTCAGCAACTTGAGGAGCGAATCTGCACTGCTGCCACTCACCGGGCACGTCACAACGTGACGGTGAGGAGATTTTCTGCGACGCAACAAAGACGGACCCAATTCCTTGGTACCGCCTGTTCGAGCTCAAGTTGCAGCTCCACCACTTCCACGAAACAAAGCACCACTCGTACTTATACTCCCGATTGGGGGGCGCGTGCCAAGCATGGATGGACAAACTCTTGTCTGAACACGGCGTGCTGGCGACTGACTTGCATACCAAGATTAGCTAGGAGGATCTGAAGGCAGCATGACATTAGCGGTTCCAAATCGAACCGCCGGAAATGAAAGCCATGAACAAGCTGATCAAGTTCCACCAAAACACATTGCCAAGTGGAGATTGGATCACCGAGTTCCAATGCTTGACATCCGTACCAGGCGTACCAATGGGCTTTCAAGCCGTTAAACAGTACTTCATCTCGAGGTCGTGTGCGACATTGTCCACAACGCTGACTCAAGTTGCAGACACGCTCAGTGTCGCTCACTACAACTGCGGAGCTCTTCGACAAGGCCGCGCAGATCATCGTCACGAACACAAAGGCCAAGAACCTCTTACCTGTGGCAGGCCTGAACAAAGAACAACATCGGCCGAAAGTGGCCATGGTCGCGGCAGCAACGTCGACCAACCCCTCAAACGAGGCCGTGTCTGCCTATAAAGGGGACAGACTCGCAGCCGTCGGGGATGGTGGCCGTCCTGGCAGAGGCCGAGGACGAGCCAAATCGAAGACCAACACCACATTCCCCGGGCCCGGCGCTGCAACTCAAGATCCCTGGACCCACTAT